AATTTGTGCATCCACCGTGCGATATATTTTTACAGTTTGTACTTAATTAAATATTTGTACAGTTTACACTATAACTGTCTGTGTGAGTTATGAAATTTATAATTTGTGCATCAAGCAAGAGCAGTTGAGCGTCAAATTGTCCTCATGCATTGACTCGGGCCTGTAAAATAGAAGATACATAATTCAAAATCCTATTCCAATTATAATCGAATTCAATAAATTAGCTAATACAACTTTGCAAGTGTAGTAGCTCAATATCAATTGTACCTTTCTTCGAAAGTACAACCACTGAGTCATTAATCCTTCTATTTTTCACTATGCTTCCTAAAGTGCATAAGGATTTTACTGATGTTGCTGATGCTTTGCCCTCCACCTCTGCTTTTGACTGGTTTCAGTTCGCCCTCTCACCGTTACATGTGCCAATTTTTTTGTAATGTTATTTTGGATTCGTTTTGAATTTTTTTTTTACTATAATGTTTCATACATAATGGATCAATATCACATTGCTTTCCTAATTGACGACTAATATACTAAAATTCTTTGAGCAGTAAAGTAAGTTGGGGATGTGATAGTGACATAGTAATTTTGGTTGTTCATAGTTGTTGAAATTAGTTAATATATGCTACAATATCACAACCAACAACTATGGTTCTATCTGTTACAGCTTCTATGCAACAACATTCCTCGATTGATGCCATCTGAGGCTGGTGAAGAGGCTCACCAACTATCCCATCTATGGAAGCACTTGGGCTATATTGTATCATGCTGTTATTCTTCCCATTATTTCGTGTATCATCGATGGTACAATAAAATATGATAGAAAATCTCCTCCATTTCCTTCTTTCATTTTCTTCATCTGCCCTAGTAGTGAGCTATTAAAACACGAGCAAATTATTGCTTGATGTAGCTATCTATCTCCTTCGTTAACACTAACATATCTTCAAGAAAAACAAAACCCGTGCATAGCACGGGCGAAAACTAGTACATAGAAGAAGAATATTTTTAAAGAGAACATATATTGTGTGATACAAGAGAATTTACATCTTGTCATTTTTTAATAAATTGCAGTTGTTGCTTAGTCAATGGGACATGTATCCATTTTACAAGGTTCAGACATCTCTGTCTTGTTGTATCATGTCATGTCAATATGGGTGCATTGTTTAAAAGGTGCCTGAAAGAGATCCCTGCTGTAAGAGTTGTTCATAAATTGAAGGAAAAAAATCAAGTTATTTGCTGAACAGAAGCAGGAATCTTGGGATGCAGGGACGGTCAGAATTGGGAAGAAATGGCCTGCTCATAAACTGAAGAAGGTCAAAGAATCAGAATCAAGCATTTAATTGATAATAACTCTCTTTTGAGAGAAATTGCCAATTTCTGGAAAGTTGGAATGTAAACTGATCATTGGTATAAACATTTACTGAAGATATGGATGCAAGATGTAAATGCAAAAACTGCAGCATCCGAAGAAGTTCTCTTAGCCAAGTATATCGCAGAACCAGCCCTTCCCCAAGAACTAAGAGATTCTTATTATGAATTCCAGCAACGTGCTAATGAATATATATCTTCTGAGACAACTTCAACACTTGCCCTTTTATCCAGCGCCAGCTCTCAATTCACACTTGCCTCTGTTATGGAAATCATTGCACCGATAAATAATATAAAGAAGTGTTTCCATAGCTATGGATTGACAAATGGAGAAGGATATGCTCGTACATGTCATCTGCTCATCTTACAGGATGACAATCTCAATATTGACTGGTTTTTAGGTATAGTTCGCCGTTGGTTGAGGTGGTATAAAGAGTGTGACAACCATGCTATTAAGTAACCAATTTCGCTGATAGCACGTGCATCTGACTAGTCATCAATAAAATTATGCATACGAGTATACTTAGTCCATGCTTATCTTTAATTCTTTCAAAATTCTTTTTCTACATACTCATTTTCAATCAAATATTTACTGGATAAAATATTATGTTCGTAAATCCAGACTTTTCCCTACTTTTTAATCACTCATTCTCCAAAAAATACTATTCAAAATAATTTTTTTCCAAAAAAGGGGCCACCAAACAGGGGCGTATATTTAATTGGGACGAACATGATACTTTTTTAAAAAAAATTAAAATTATAATAGTGATAGATATATAAAAGTGGTGTAAATATATAGTGTTTAAATAAATGAATTTAATAAGGATAATGATAAATGTAATATGGATGAATATAATACTTTTTAAAATTTTAAGATTTTAATAGAGATAGATATATAAAAATAGTGAATGAAAATATAAAGTGGCTACGAAGTTTAATTCTTAATAAATTGGAATGTATTTGGCTTTATAAAATATATTAATTTTACGAATTCCCAATCTCATCCCATATTATGTTATGGTTTTACGAACAAAGTGTACATAAATAATTACGTCATAGTGAAAGCAAGGTTACTATTACCATTGAACCAAGTACATAAAATTCATAATTATAACAATGTATTTTTCATAAGAGATCCACTTGCGATTTGCTGGTTGAATAATGCTACATTTACTTGTAAATAATTATGTATAAGTAGCATGGCTCTTGCTGGTTTCCATTCGCAAATCAAACACAAGTCATCAAATCTCAATTAATTTGAACATTTCAGGGAATGTAACTTGTACAAATTACATTGTGCGGCTGGACTTTCCTGTGGTTTTCGATGAAGGTGATGATTTTCGACTGTGGTGGTTTGTAGAGACACTGAATCTTTAGAAAGAGATTTCAATTTTAGATAGAGCTTTTTAAGCAATATTATGAAAATTGGTCTATTGGTCCGAAAAAGCATAGGATTGGTCAAACGATCGAATCAAGGTGTAATCGGAACATATTCAAAATTAAAGATAATAAATTAATAAATTTATTTATATAATAAATTAAAAATCTATATTAATAAAAACAGATTTTAGAATTTATTATTTAAGATTTATAAGTTATGGAGCAATTTAAATCACGGAAAAATACATAATTTCATAAAATGCACAATTTAAAATGCAATTTCATAAAAAAAGAAACTCACAAAAAAAATTCTAAAGATCAAGTTGTCTCATTTTGTAACATCTGATACAATTTTGTGTCATATAGTTCAAATTAAACTTGTTACGGTCACAATAATGTAGCATTTAGTATCGCAATCGTGTACTAATCACAAATCACACAATGTCACAATCATAAGGATATGATGTCGGTGTCAAAATTACATATTTAGTCACAAATGGCACATTGATTTTCATTCATGTGGTGAATTATTAGAATTTTGTATAGAAAATTGGTTTTGACCAATTTTAAATGATTATCTAAGTGAAAATCGTTATTTAATGAATGAGAAATTAAGACAAATTCGAGTCACTTAAAAATGTGAAATTGTTGAAAATTATATAAAATATTATGAAATAGTCTAAAATTATTTGGATGAAAATTTGTGTCTTTTTGGAAATGATGACTTTCAAAAGTCGCATTCTTTTGTTGTAGAGACATGTCTCCTAAGACATGTATTTTCCAGCTAGACATGTCTTTTTAGACATTATTTTTCTTTAAGTTGTGTCTTTTAATTCACAACTTTTAGACCACTATGTATTGACCCTATATGATTGAAATTAATTAATTCAATTTCATTTTTGCATTAGCACACTAATGCATACACACTTCAAAATATTTGTGCATTTATTTTAAGTCAAGAATCATTAAAAATAGTTCAAAACATTAGTAAGGTACGTAATTTGGAGTGCCCATATTGCAGAACGTGATCGTTGTAACTTGAGAGACGAATGCAGAAAAATCGTTAGTACCCGTGAGGGATATTATCGTCTTGAAAAGAAAGAGTCGAAATCTTGTTTCCACCAAATTCATTTTCATGCATTTCTCGTTTCCACTTTATGTATTCAATTTCGGTAAATCTAAATTATGTCCAACTTTATGTACATAAAAGATATGTTATTAGAATATAATTTATGCACGTTAAATTTTCCCAACACAAAGTTCTCAGTCTTGGAGTAGATTGGGTGGCATTAATTATCGTAAGAGTGGATAGGAGTTCCGTTCTAGAAACTTTGAAGGTCTTGTTTCTTATATTTGGAGCAAGTGCGACGCTAAGTGGGTACTAGACGTTATCGTAATTTAAGTGTTTTTTTAGTTCTTCGAAGTGACTAACTGAAGTTATAATGAATTTTGAGACTCATGATTTGTTTTGTTGAATTTTACGATATCGTTTAAACTTTTTGAATGTTGTTCTTTATATACGTTGTATTATTGGTAAACTTAGTGAATTTGTGAATTTGATACAAAGAATTTCTAATTATCACTTGCTTGTTTTAGGGGAAACAGTCGTGAAAAGATTCCATAAAAGAAAATTTCTCGTAGAAAATGTTGATTGAATATATCAAATAGAGTGGATTCTGATGTTGCACAACTTCCAATGGATCCTGAACGGAACTCCTATCCACTCTTATGCTAACATCTGAGATGAAGTTCAAAGAGCATATATGCAAAAAGGTTCTTACCAACGTCTTGATCATGAATTTTTTAAGAGACCATTTGGAGTAAAATGTTCTAGACAATTTAATCCTTTTTTATTTAAAGAGCTTGGTAGTTTATTAGAGTATAGTATAGCTTTAAGATGCTAATTTTTCGTATTATTATCTCTTGCAAATAAGTAATGGGAGGAAACAAGGAGGAGACGACTCTTTTGTTGAGGAAGAATTCACGTACGGGAAGAATAAAGAGAGATTTAATACTCATGTTAGAGTTTATGATAGTGCATGTAATGAAGCTCGCATAAATTATGAAGAGCAACACGTTCAATCAATTTTCTTCGAGCAGACAAAAAAAATACAAATTGAGTATCATATCCATCGTGACAAGGGGATTCATTTCCAAGTCATGATGAATGTAAGAATTCACTTAATCCATGTAACTTCCCAGTCAAATTGCAATTTTGGATAATCATAATGGTGATATTAAGGCCATTACATTGAAAATAACTCTCGAAATTTCAAATTAACATCACATGATATTCTGAAGGATATAATAACTGCTGCTACTGCTGAAATAATTGATTTCATTATCAAAGATATTGGTGATTCATTAATTTCTATTTTAGTTTATTAATCTGGTGATGTCTCTACAGAGCAAAAATCAATTGTTTTGCATTATGTGAATAACATTGAACATGTAAATGAGCATTTCATAGGTTTTGAAGATGCTTCTAGTTTTCATGATGAGAGAGAGAGAGAGAGAGATGCATTCTATTTATTTGAATTTATATATTCATTTGATTTTGCATTTAATTTACGAATAATGAGAAATATCTCAGTGATTTCAAATGAATATGAAAGATCAAAACTTCGTAAATGCAATGAAAATACTGAAAATATGAAAATGACAACTCCAAATTATGAGAGATGATGGATGTGATTCTTTCTTGGAACAAGTTTATTCTTTCTGTCAGCAGCATTGCATTTTTGTTCCTAACAAGGATGATATATATTCATGCGTCATGCACCTCGTGATCACTCATGACATAATCCTCCAGAAATGACAATTTTGTATCAATTTCTCTTCATTTATTTCCTGCCATGATATGCAATTTCAAGACCTAAATGGTCATTCTTGAAGATAATACCGAGTTACTCCTTTGTCTAGCTTGTTTATGTCCACAAATTTCATTCTTTACTTTTGACAAGAGAAGATTGATTTAACTTGTTGGGTTTTATCTAGAAGATTTTTCAACAATAAATTTCTTGACACTTGATGATCAACTTCAAACTTATATTATGAGTGTGAAGGATTGAATGGCTTCAACGATTGTGTAGAAGAGTTGTTATGACAAAGAAAATTGAGGTATATCTATTGATTTATAAACTTTAGACATTATCGCTAATTTTTTCAGATGCTACTGCTAATGTAGAGAATATTTTCTACACTTAATATTGTGAAGGATAGATTATGAAATCAGATTCAAGGTCGGTGGATGAATAATAGCCTCATTATTTATATTGCAAAATATACATTTTTAAAGATTTTTAATGCAATCATTGTACAAAAATATCATAGTATAAAAACTCACAATGAACAATTGTAAGGTATGCTATTTTTAGTATTGTCGTGTTATTACGTTGGTTTTTCTATTTTTACTTTTATTAAAGCTCCTTATTTGATCCATATACAAATCACTCTTATAACAGGCCATTTCGAATATCAGCAAATCCCAAGCATAAAAGAACAAAAATATGAGAAACTTTCAACATGGTAGACAAGAATGTATGCTTACTTCGGGTACTGTGTTTGTGTATGTGCGAGAGAGAGAGAGAGACATGTCAAAGAGATGCGGACAAAAGAAACAGACGAGAATAGGAGCTTACAACATTGAAGTATCAAAAATGAGTAGACAAAAAGGGACCTAAACCCTCTAAAAGGGATTATATGTAGCACGTACAAATACTATAAAACAAAGCTGCTAAGGAGGGAATTAAGGAGGTATGTCACCTACTTCCAATATGCCTTTTGCTTGTGTTATTATCTGAAGAATAATATATTAAAGACAAGACATGTCTTGTCATGGCTATCGACGAGTACTACGTCTTCTGTGTGCTTTTGGCCTATTTTCATCCCAAAAAAAATGAAACTTGTTTTCTGATTCCTGTGTCCCCAACGGTTTTCATTCATACACCACATACATTCTTCTGTAATTTCATTTTATTCTTAAAAAAAGCAACAAATGAGTTTTATGATAGTGATTTTTTTAAGAATGTGTAATTGAAAATGAATTTGAAAAGAAAAATAAGTTTTTAAAAAATGGGT